GCCACCCCGTCACTTCTGTCACCTCGGAGTCATCCTATCATTCCGGTCACCTCAGAGCCACCCCGTCCTAGCACCCATTTGCACACCCCATCTCACAGTCACCCCATTACTGCACACATCACCTCAGAGCCTCCCCATCACTGCACATGTCACTCAGAATCACCTCATCACTACACACATCACCTCAGTCACCAAGTCACTGCATATCACCTCATGGCCACCCTGTCACTGCACACACCTCAGAGCCACCGTCACTACACACATCACCTCAGTCACCAAGTCACTGCATATCACCTCATGGCCACCCTGTCACTTCACACACCTCAGAGCCACCGTCACTACACACATCACCTCAGTCACCAAGTCACTGCATATCACCTCATAGCCACCCTGTCACTGCACACACCTCAGAGCCACCGTCACTACACATATCACCTCAGTCACCAAGTCACTGCATATCACCTCATGGCTACCCTGTCACTGCACACACCTCAGAGCCTCCCTATCACTGCATACATCACCCAGAGCCACCCTGGCACTGCACACGTCACCTCAGTCACCAAGTCACTGCACATGTCTCCTCAGAGCCTCCCTGTCCCTGCGCACATCGCATCAGGACCACCTTGTCACTGCACATGTCACCTCAGAGCCACCCTGTCACTCACTGCACATGTCACCTCAGAGCTTTCCCATCATTGTAAATGTCACCTCAAAGCCCTCCTGTCACTACACACGTCACCTCAGAGCCTCCCCGTCACTGCATATCACCTCAGAGCCACCCTGTCATTCTACGTCAGCTCAGAACCATCAGTGCGCACAGCCAAGAGGACACAGAGCTCAGCCTCCCTTTGTTCGCCTCCTTCCTCCACAAGCCAAGAGTGACCAAACGTCCCCACGGTCACACTCTGCTGTTCGGGCCAAGTGGGAAGCCCCATGCAGCTCTGTGACGGGCACAGGGGGTTTGGGGTGAGTGAGCGAATGGTGAGAGGGCAAAACCTCCACCCCAATCCAGAGGTAAAGGGCTGCCCACCCCGCCTGACCACTCTGCCCGTCAGCCTGTGGCCAGAGGTGCCATGACTGAGTCAGCAAAACTGCTGTCACAGCTGACCCTGGGACAGTAGCCCGGGCTCAAGTCAAAGGTCAGGTGGCAGCAAAGTCCGGCCCCTCTGGGAGCACCTCCAGAAAGTTCTAGAAAGCCACGGGTATCCCACCTGCTTCACCTGAGAGCTCCAAATCTCTCTCACCTGAGGAAAAGAGCCACCAGAGAGGAAGGATATGGAACCACAGAGGCGAGCTCAGCAGAGTGGGGACCCCACCCAGACCCCCCCAGCCACAGGGACCCGGTCACCCCGACACTCCGCCTCACGAGCCCGGGAGGTGAATCACACAAGGTGGGCACGGGCTCGGTGGGCCTCTCCCCTTCTGCCCCGTGACACGCATGTCAGCCTGGAGCCCCCAGGAGCACCACACGGGAAGAGCATCCGAGAATCTTCCACCTCAGACGCCGCCAGGGCTGCAAAGCTGCGCCCTGGCGGGGCCAAGACGAAGCACCAGCTTCACAGAAGCCCCTGGCCTGAGGGCCAACGTCAGGTGACGTCACACCGTGGTCCCAGCAACCCCCAGCGCGAGCCCTGGAGCGTCCCCGCACTGGTCGCAGCTCGACCCCAGTGCCCACGGGTCCCTCACTGCCCAGCGGGGGAGAAAGCGGGCGGGCCCGTTGCAAGCCAGGCTCCCCGCGGGGCTGCAGGGTCTCCGCCCTCGCACACCCTCCAGCGGCTGCACCCCGAGAGGCCACAGGGCTGGACCCGGCCTCGCGCCGTCCCAGTGAGACATTCCCGGAGGAACCTGCAGGGAGCACATGGCACCTGGGCGGGCCACATGGGTGGCCGAAGGGCTGCGGGGGTCTCGAGACCCCTGGGCAGGCAAGCAGGGCTATGGGTGCCCATCCCAGGGCCGCCTCTGCCTGTGGACCCTGAGACGGGACGGGCAGCCCCTCCCTCCGTGGGAAAGGGGCCGCCCGCCCTTGTCGGCAGACACAGGCCGCGGGGAGCAGCAGCCCGGCCCTTGGGTTTGCATCTGGCTTCGCAGCGAATGCCCGTAGGGTGCCCAGCCTGGAGGGGACCCCCGGGACCCCCAAGACCCGCCCTCCCACAGTCCATCGCCTGCACGGCTCCTCCCCAGGGTCAGCTCTGGGAGCTCCCACCCGAACCCGCTGCACGTGCCAACCCAAAGCCAGGCGGTGCGCTCGGGGCTGGTCACAGGTGAGTCACACACGCCGCGTGCGGGGGGCAGAGTCCACGTGGCCCTTGCAAAGCCTGGCTTCAGCCAGCAGCTCTGTCCACAGCAGCGGAGGCAGCACTGCCCCCCCCCCCAACCACCACCCCGCAGAGGCCACTTTCCCTTTCACTTCCAAGGTGAGGTGACTTTCTGGGGAAACGCCACAAGCAGGGTTTGCCCCGGCCCATTCACCCTGGAAGCCACGATCTGGTTAGTGTAGGGCTCAAGCCGGCGACCCCTCGCGGGTGGGCAGGCGCTCACTCACTCCCCACGCCGAGAAGGCTGGCCAGCCCAGGTCGGACGCCTGCAAGAAGGTCACTGCCAAGGGACCGCGAGTGAGTGGGGCCGGAAAGGAGCCATGCCTGGCTGCTGTTTCCCGAGTCTGTATCACTCACACACACACACACACACACACACATACGCACACACACGCACACACACGCACGCACACACGCACCTCTGGAACAGCAAGGCGGGTTTTCAGAGGCGGGACAGGAAGAGGGTGGGGATGACCCTGGTGGGTTTTATCTCGCGCACCCAGGACAGCAAGTGACAAAAGATGACAATAAACAAGCAGCGAGCTCTCCTTCCGGGAGCTTCCAGAAGCCCGTTCCCAGAACACCGCCCGTGCCCCGGAGAGAAGACCGCTCGGGACCAGTGTTCTATTGCAGGCCCCTGCGGACGGAGGCTAGACGGTCCTTCAACTCTGGGAGCAGCAGCTGGTCAGGAGGTTTAACCAAACCCTGGCTGAGCCCTTCCCCGTAGTTCAAACATCTTCCCAAGATCTGCCCCTAAAAACAGCTGGACCTGGGCCGGAGCGATAGCACCGCGGGGAGGGCGTTTGCCTTGCACGTGGCCAACCCGGGTTCGATCCCCAGCAGCCCATCTGGGTCCCCAAGCACCGCCAGGAGTGATTCCTGGGTGCAGAGCCAGGAGGAACTTCTGCGCATCGCTGGCTGTGACCCAAAAAGAAAAAAAAAAAGCAAAACAAAACAGCTGGACCTGCAGCTGGAGAGACAGTGCGTGTGGCCCAGGGGTCCACCTTGCACGCCGCAGACCCTGGTCCAGTCCCCAGCACCCTAGGAGGAGCCACTTGGCACTGCTGGGTGTGGCCCCCAAGCCCTCGCCGCCCAACGCAACCAAACCCCAAACTGACCCTGCCCCCCATGTATGATGACAAGATACCGGCTCAAACAAAAAGAGGAGGAAACATTCCACACCACTCAGAGCCCCGAGCTGGCCAGGAGCGTGGACGTTTGGAGCTCTGGGCCGGCCACGTCAGGCCGACGTCCGAAGCGATTCCCGCCTTGCCAGGTATCACCCACCCCCAGCCCAGGACCCCCGCCCCCCGGGGGCTTCCTAAGCTCACAGAGCCCCCGGGGAACCTCATCTTCCTTCCCTGGAAAAGGCTCCCTGGAACAGTCTGTTCTCTGAGGGAACAGCCAGAGCTCAGACGTGGTCACCCCTGGCCCAGCTCCCAGTCCGGCCATCAGGTGCTCCCTCGGAGGAAGGCCTGGTCCCCACCCACCCCAACGCGCTGGGCTGCCCAGTTCTCAGGAACCCAGAACAATACAGACCCAGACTGGGAGGTTTCTAAACAAACATAAAAGGCCGAGGCTTGCGCAAGGGGTGCCCTGAGACCCCGGGTCCCACGGGCAGAGGGCAGGACCCCCGCCCCAATGGGGAGGGTGCAGGCTTTGTCCGGCCGTCCCTGGGCCCCGGGGACAGGCTGGGCCGGGGCGCCCAGGACGCGGCTCGAGCAGGGGAACCATCCACACCCACTTCCTGGGGCTGACCGGGGAAGAGCCTCACTCTTTCCTCCGGGGAAGGGAGCACTGACTCACGGCCACTCCCGGACCCCTCCTCGTCCCCCGCTCCGAGGGAAAGCGCCCTGAGCACCGCATCCCACATCCCGGGAGGAGTCCCGTCCGGTCCCTTCCCGGCCACCTCCAGCACCGCCTTCCAGGCCAGGAAAAAGAAAGGGCCGGAGACAGGAAACGGACCAAATTTTAAAAAAATAAAGTAAAATAAAATAACAAAAAATCAGAATTCCGTCCTCTGCGGCTCAAAACATCTTTTCCCTCCGGACAGGGGCGACCCCTTCCCGGGTGGCCAGCGCGTCCCCTCCTCCGCGCCCCTGGGCTGAAGCCAGGGGTCACTTGCCCCGGGGCCCACGCACGTGCGGGGAAAGTCGCGACTCGGAGCTGGGCCGTGGACACCGCGGGCACTTCCCCGGGTGGACACTCGCGTCCTGGCCACCCTGGACACGCCGGCCACCCCGGCCACACGGGTAAGGAGCGAGGGGCGAGCGGCCGGGACCCCTGGACGGGGCGAGTGGCCGGGACGGGCCGCGCCGCAGGAGCCGGGCTTGCACCCCGGGGCGCGGGGTCCGAGCGGCGCCTGCACCCCGGCCCGGGCCGGAGGGGTCAGGGGAGTAACAACAACAACAACGGCAACAACAACAATAATAATAACGAGGAGGAGGAGGAAAAAGAGGAGGAGGAGGAGGAGGAGGACGGTGCGGCGGACCCCGCGCCCGGCTCCGGCCCGACCCCCGCACTCGGCGCCGCACGCACGTGCTCCGCGTCCAGCGCGGGGGTCCGGGGGCCAGCGCGGGGGTCCGGCCCCGATCGCCGGACGGGGTCGGGGGCGGCCGGGGCAGAGGGGTCCGAGCCGGGGTGGGTGGGCGGGCTGGGGGAGGCGGGGGCCCGACCCGCGCTTACCTGCCGCCGCCCGGCCCCGCGTCCGGCCCCGCGTCCAGCGCCGCGTCCAGCCCGCGGCCCGCGCCCAGCCCCGCCCCGCCCCGCCGCCCGTGACGTCACCCGCCGGGCCCCGCCCCCCGCCCGCGCGGCCCCGCCCCCGGAGTCCCTCCAGCCAACCGGCGTGCGCGGGAGGCGGGGCCTCGGCGCGCGGGGCCCGGCGATTGGGCGGCGGGCCCGTCGCTCCTCCCGGCGGGCCGGCACATTCCTGGCGGGGCCGGGCTGGCGCTGCAAGTGGGCGTCGGGGCGGCCAAAAATGCGGCTTTTCCTGCCGCGGCCGGGCGCGGAGGGCGGCGGAGGGGGAGGGACGGGCGGTCCCGTCGGGAACTTTCCTCGGCTTGTTTGCAGCGGGCCCGAGCGGCCCCCTCCACGCCCCTCGTGGGCACGGGCACCTGGTCCTCCCCGGTGTCCACTCGCGTCCGCGGCTCCGGGCTCAGGGTCGTGCGCGGGGCAGGGCTGAGCGCTCCCTCCCTCCCGCACGGGCGGGGGGCTTGGGACCGGGAAGCCCCCAGAGCCCTGCCTGGGCTGGCCTCGGGAGGTTGCATTCGCGTGCATGCTTTAAAAAAATTGAATTAAATTCAGAAAACCCGGCTGAGCTTGCACAGGTCAGTAGGAGTGACAAGGGCCACTTAGCCGGCCCTTGTCCCCATGCACAGCTGGAAAGCAAGGGGAACCGCTCACAGGAGCGTAATTACAGCTGCATGCAACCAGATGCAGCGCCGGGCTATCAATTAAGCATCGGCCGGCATTTACCCTCCGCCGAGGCGAAGCCACCTAACGATCCCCTTGGCGAACAGGGTCAAGCCACTCGGAGGCCGCTCGGGCCCTCTGCCTGGGATCGGACAGCGGCTGAGGGTGTGGTTGGTGTCCCCAGAGGTCCCAGTGACCCCCACGGACTTCACTCACCGGACAGGAGCGCTGCATTAACTAACATCTGGTCTTGGGAATTACAGCGGATCGGTTGCTGCTTTTCTGTTGGTTTTTTTTTTTTTGGTCCGGTTTTTGTGGATGACGGTTTCCACGGTTGCCAGAAAATGTAACAGGACCTGCGGGTTCGACACCCTGACCCTTTGCCCCAGTTGAAGGCGAAGAGGCCCAGGCTTCGAGCGACTGCATCAGCCCCGCAGGCACCGAGCTGGGGTGCAGCCGTGGTGCTTGACCCGGAAGCCCGTGGCTCTCCTCCATCTCCACAGCCACGTGGGCTCACGCTCTCCGTCCCGGCAAACACCACCCGGCTACAGCAGCCCGGAGCCCAGTGGCCGCTCGCCCCGACCTGCCGCCTATTGTCCCAAAGCTGCTTCTCCGACCTACCTCTTCCCAAACTCCCCGCGTCCGTTCCGACTCAGTTTCCCCAGCTCTCAACCCCCTCTTTCCCTGCAGGGCTGTGCCTGCCGTGCTGTGCCTCAGTTTACCGTGTGTGAAGGGAGGACGGGGAGGGTTGTGCTCTATGTGTTGCTCACCCTGCCCAGGTCTCTGCTAGAACCTACCTGGTCTCAGGTCGCTGTTTGATGCTTGATTCGGCCAGAATCCCCCAGACTTCGACTCACAACCTAACCAAAGCCCTAGAGTCCTCTCCACCCCACCCCCCTACCCGTGTGTGGCCTCGGTGGACAGTTGTTCTGCTGGGTAAGTTGGCCCGGTCAGGGTCAGTAAAATGTCCGTGAGAAACCTCAGTCCCTCCTCTTGAAGATGGGCTGATAAGACATCAAAGGCTACTGCAGGCATCAGTGAGATCGCGCAGATGTGGGAACATATGTTTAAGCAGGTCCTGTCAGAGGCACTTCCTCTCCTCCCATCCCTGAGGACCCAGCTCCCTCCCCACCTCTGAGCTGGTAGTCCCTACCCCCATCGGAGGAAAAGAAGGAAAAGACTGGACAGAACAGGCCCCGGAAAGGGAAAGTGCATCCTCCAATCACGTGGTTGAGCTCTCCAGGGAGAGAGGCTGAGAGGCGGGGGTTGGGTGTGTGCGGATTCTCTGCCCGAGCTCAGCTCCCACACCTGGCCACGCCCCCGGCACCGCCAGGTATGGCCCCAGTTAAAAAGCAAAAGCCAGAACACGCACGCATACACACATGCACACACACGCGCGCGCACACACACACACACAGACAGACAGTCTTCTCTGCCCTCCCCACTCAGCCATCAGCTCCACAGACGCCTTCTGCACCGCGAGGCTCACACCTGTGTCCTCGGCACCCCTCCCTCAGCCAGGGACGCTGTGTCGCCCACATCCCCTCCCTTCCGTCCAGTTGTTGGAGTCACCCCTGCAGCCTAGGCCATGGAGTCTGGGTTCACACGCTCTCGGGTGCAGCCGGCCAGGGACAAGCTCTTCCCCCCAGCACACACACACACACACACACACACACACACATACACACACACCAGGGATGGCAGGATAGAATAACAGGAAGCTGCCTCCCACCCCTCTGCCTGGGGAGTGATAGCAGCTGCTGGCAAAGTCCAGAAAACAAAAGATCCAGAGGGACAGAGAGCAGAGGCAGGCCGGGCAGCAGCCCCGGGCCAGCCTTCGGGCGTGACTAGGTCACACCTTGGGCCAGAAGGGGGGTCCTCAGTCCCTGGTCCCCACGATCGCCCCCAGCAGAGCTGCCGGCTGGTTTGCTCCGAGGGGTCTCCATAAAGTTGCTTTAGATATTTTTTGCAGACTGGCTCTCTTTCCCAAGGCCACCCCCCAACGCCATCCTTCTTTGCGTTCGGAAGAAGGTCTCGTGCTGAAACCCACGGGCCCCTCTGGCGGTCCTGGGAGCACTTCAGGAAGAGCCCACCCCAGCCCAGATGGGAGGCGGCTGACTGGCAGGCAGGTGGGCTGAACGCCTGGGGCCTCCATGCTGAGTCTAGACCTCTGCATGCTCGAGGCAGTGGGGGGGGGGGGCGCGGGGGCCCATGACCACTGCCGGCCCTCAGCACCCCTCGACCTGCTGGCCCTTCTCCATGTTGGGATGGGAGAGGGGCTTGGAGCAAAGCCAAGTGACTGGCCAAAGCAGGTCTGGAAATAGACCCCCAAGTCCCCACGGGCCACCTCCCATTTGGATGCAAGCTCCCCTCACTAACGACCCTGCCCGGGGCGTCGGGGTCTCACCCGAGTCCCAGGGCCCTGCCATGCCCCAGAAAGTGGCATGAGCGCCCCTCAGAGCTCAGCCCTGCAGTAGAAGTCGCTCCCAGCTCCAGAGTCATGGCGGGGCGGGAGTGAGGGGGTCTCCTGAGCCATGGTTTGCTTCCTGGCTCCAATCACCTTCGCCTCTGCACTCCGGAGCGAACGTGAGCAGAGGCGTTTGGTCGGCCCAGCCCAGCCCCCCTTGCGTGCTGAGAGGCAGGTCCGGAGCCTGCATGGAGGTCTGCGGCCCGTCTGGCCTTCGCAGGTGCCCTGCGGCCTCCTGAAAGCCCCCATTGGTCTGCTCGCCGGGGCTCATGCTGGCGCCCCTGCCTTGCCCAGGGAACCAGGCCCAAGCCGGGCAGGGCCCCCGCATCCGTGTCTGGCCTCCTCTGTCAGGGTCCCCGAGGTGCCGCGTGTCCTCCCTGTTGAGGATAACTTGGCCAGGCCTCTGGACACCGTCTCCAGGGTGTGGCGAGAGTCTGATGGGATACAGGCACCGTGACGAGCCTCTCCTTGCCACGCCTGTGGCTCTGAGGTTTCGGCTGTGGCGGGGCCCTCCACGCGGGGCGGCTGGCCATGCCTGAGGCTGTGCGGCAAGTTGATGACGTGTTTAGAAGAGGAAGGTCTGGAATTTAGAACTGTGCAGATTCAGGCAGAATTCGCAGAATGAACACGCGTTGTCTTTGCTTCAAACGTTTGTTTTGCTTTTTAGTTTTTTTTTGTTTTGTTTTGTTTTGTTTTGTTTATGGCCACACCGAAACAGGGGTCTCTCGGGAGATGGTGCTCAGAGGTCACTGCAGGTGGTGGGCAGGCCTTCAGCGTGCCCGCGATGGAGCCCAGGACCCCTGTATGCAAAATACGTGTTCCAGGCTCTGAGACACTCCAGCCCCTGCTTAAAACCTGTGCCTGATGCAGCGGTTAAGTGTTCAGGAAGGAAGAACTTGACCAGACTGACCTTCGGGGGGTCTGGAACCTCGCACTTCTCAGCCCAACCTCCCTTCCAGACACAGAGCCGGACGGGTGCACGGTGTCAGCCACGAGTCCAGTCGTAACTGATGCAAACGGAGCTTTAGAACCTCTGACGGAAACCACTGCTCTCCGGGCTGATTCTGGTCCAGATGTTGGTGGCCGGAAGGACCATCCTGGGTCCTTGGCTGATGCTGGGTTCGACTCCTGCCCTTCCTAACTCCGGCTTCCCAGGAGGACGGGACACACCGACCTGCCCCCTGAGAGTTGCGGAAAGCCCCCCCCCCCACCCTGGCCCGAGAGCCAGTGGGAACAAGGTCAGAGAAGCGGGAGGCCCCAAGCTTTAAATATGCCGGCGGGCAAGTAGCCCCTGCGCTCAGGCCGGGCCCCCCCAGAGGCGAGAGCTCAGCATTGTAAAGTCCCTAACGGGGCGTGGGGCACCGGCGGGCAGCTGGAGCGAGGGCGCGGCATTAGGAATCCCAAGTGTCTTGTTTTGTAGAACAGGGCGCATAAGGACATGGACACACTGCGGGGACATTCCCTCGTTCCCGAGGTTCCAAAGTGAGACTCTGGGGGCTGGAGCGATAGCACAGTCGGGAGGGTGTTTGCCTGGCACACGACCGACCCAGGTTCGATTCCCAGCATCCCATAGGGTGCCCCGAGCACTGCCAGGAGTGATTCCTGAGTGCATGAGCCAGGACTAACCCCTGAGCATCGCCGGGTGGGACCCAAAAATCCCCCCAAAACAAACAAACAAAAACAAAGTGCAACTCTGACCAGCTCACAACCACCCTGAGGCCCCCTGTGTCTGTCCTGCCTGGCCTGTGTGAGCGTGGCAGGTCCTGCGTCCCTCGTGAGCAGGCCCAGGGCAGAGGTGCTCTCACCCCCAAGCCTGGCCTGTGCTGGTGACTGGGAAAACCCCAAACCTTGTT